GTTTCAATAATATTGCAATTAATTGTTGAGTCACATTGGTTACCTCGCTAAGCTGGAGGTGTGCAGCCTGTCTCTTTAAAAGCTTGTTCTGGCTGCTCCTTGTTCCATCATTCCCTGCAATATTTCAATCGATCCACTGCCAAAAAAATGTCGGAAATGACCATCGTCTTGTTTTGTAGATATATTTTTAATTAACAATAGTGGTAAGCTCTATACTCACTAAAAAAAACCCATTGTATTTCCTGTGAACTTGTATTTTGCCAATTAAATGCTTTTAATGTGAAGCTGCAGCACACTGGGAAATGTACAGTTTGCATAAGCAATAACTAAATACAACATTTTTTAAGAGAATGTCACCCTCAACATCATAATACTGCATATATAAATATTGCAATACTTTCATCAGTGGTCCGTATGCTCAATCATAGCTGTGTTGCCTCACCTGGCAACAGATATTGACTTGACAGACTTTTATGTAAAGGACATATTTAAACAATATTTTTCTTGAACATTTAAATCTTGGTGTGCTCTACATACAAGAAAAATAAATCTTGTGACAACACAGCAAATTCCCAAAGTAACAGAAATGCCAACTATAACAATTTCACAGTCTGTACGCTCCATGCTTTTATGACAGTGTATCTGTTTATCACCACAGGGTCTGTTGAAGATGGACTCTGTGAATCTTGTGGCCCAGCTGATTCAGAACACTGTCATTTTGTCCACGGCTGTGGAGCTGGGAGTGCGATGGCGGGAGCTCGCTGAGAAGATGGGAAAACTCTCCAGTGCTCAGATAGCAGGCTATGAGGCACCGCACCGGGGGAAGAGCGGAGAAGTCAGTTCACAGGTCAGCTTAACGGAACACACTGACACATTACGCAGTGGATATTGCAAATATAACACTAACCATGTGGAATTTCTGCAGTGAATATGATTAACATTTTATTTTAAACTGATTCCTGTTCTGTTTCAGTCGATGTGGAAGCCCGCCTATGACTTCCTGTTCTCCTGGAGTCTGCGGTACGGAGACAGCTACAGGGACATGATCCAGGATCTGCACCTGGTCCTGGACAAAATGAAACACCCTGCCACCAGACAGTGGAGGCAGCTGACTGGTGCCCTCATCACAGCAAACTGTCTCGACATCTTTCGAGCCTCTGCGTTCCCAAACTCCTAAACTTTACGCAAGCGCACTCTAGTGACGACACCAACGTCTACGCACTTGACAAACTGAGACAGAGAAGCTATGTTAGACCACAATAAGGTTTTGATATTGTTTTTGATGTTACTTTGCTCTTGTTTTTTTGTATAATTTTGCCCACTCATTTTTACACAAAGCATTAGAAGCTACTTTATTGAAGTTCAATCAGGTACTTGTACTAAATGTTTAGATCTCACTTGGTGAATGTAAAATATGTTTTTACAATTTTTGAGCTGTGAAGGAATGTCACTTTATGTCTCAAAGAGAAGGAAATGAAGTGAAGTTTGTCACTTCTCTGTGCAAATGTGATGAAGCCTTAAAAGGTCCAGTATGTAGGATTTAGTGGCATCTAGTGGTACGGTTGCAGAAATGAGTGAGAGAACTACGGTGGCCTGCACGAAAATGCGAATAGTCCTATCTAGAGTCAGTGTTTGGTTTGTCTGTTCTGGGCTATTGTAGAAACAACATGGTGGACTCCATGGAAGAGGACCTGCTCTGTGTGTAGATATAAACAGCGGATTTTAAGGTAACAAAAACACAAAAATCCTTAGTTTCAGGTGATTGTACACCATTGAAAACATAGCTATGCAAATAGATGCCCCTAAAGCCTACACACTGGACCTTTAACGTTTAAGTTCCTATTGGTAGATCATTTTCAGTCAAATGCGTATGAGGTCAGCAGCTCCCCAATGACATCAGCTGTTCTGGGTATCAATAATCTTAACCGGTGTTTCAACACTTGTTTTATTCCTTTGCCTTGTAATAGCATGCTGATATTACCTATTCCATTTACTGTTTTTCGCAAATGTGCATCACCTGAAGAGCAGGCTAAATTATTATTTATGCATCTAATTTGATTTCTTCCACTACATTCCTTAAATCACTGACTGTATTAAGTGTTTGGGTTTCTTTTTTTGAATAAGGATCCACATTATTAGGATAACTGTCACCTTTGTGGAGCCTGTCGTAATATGTATTGGAGTTGTTCCAACACCGATACCAGAATCAGAAATACTCTGATAATGCCTAAAATGCTGGATCGGGTATCCGCAAGTACACAGATCTATGCACTAGTCTGATACCATGTAATTTATTGATAAATATTAAAGTAATTTTGCACCTGGATAAAACAGCAGTTTAAATAGCGGTAGCATTTGATATATAGTAGCCTACACAGGAAGTTGCGCTGTGCAGCCATATGGCAACTACAGTTTTAGAACAATGTAATGTTCGGCATTAGCAAAGTGTCAAACTAGATAATAAGGTAAGTTCTATTACATTCATTCTCTGCATGTCTTTGAACCTGAGCTATGTCAAACAATAATGATAGCAATCATTTCACATCCATACAGGGTCAGTAAAATACAACTGTTAATTTGTTTTTAACACAATACTATCAGATTGGTACTTGGTATCAGTTGATACGCAAGCTCTGGAATCAGAATAGCCATTGTGAAGAAAGAAAAGTGTATTGAATATCTCTATTATGTATAATATCTTTGTAATCTGTAATATAATGTAAGTAGTCTATAATAATGTGAACACTGTTACTATTAATCTGAAGGGTCGCAGTACATACATTTTTATCAGTGTGTGTGCTGAAATGAGAATGTTCTACCAAAGTGAGAGTTTCTGATGCCAGTAAACAAACCGTAAAGATGCTACAATACAAGTGTCATAAACTGTTGTCTTAAATATTAGTGTATTTGCTATTTTTTTTATACTGAAATGTCTTAGATATGTACAAAGCAGATCATTTCATAAAGGGTATGCAATGTAATGGTTGTGTTTGTTATGATGTTTTCATCGCCAAATGGAAACTCATTGTTTAGAATGGTGCCATGTACAGTACGCAGTGCCTTCTGCCACTGAAATGTTACACAAATGGAGATGTGTTGCCTGAGATATGAATAAATATGAACTGTAATAAACTATCTGATCTGTTCACTATTAAATAACTAATAACATTTGACAGACAGCTACTAAACTACTATAGGCCCACATATTGTTTAAAACGTTACTTAGCAACTTATGTGACATTTATTATTTTCCAGTTTAGTTGTGTTAAATCACACCATAGAAGCAAATGACTTTTCCCTGAAGTGTTTTCCACTGATTTTCTCTGACTGTTTGCTTTTCCCGGCACTGTTTGTTTAAGCTAGTTTCAGCTGAGAGCATTGTGTGCAGGTTCTCTATCAAACAAGAGAGCACAGAACACTGCACTGACTTTACTTTGGCTCACTGAATGCACCTCGGGAAAAGCAAATCAAATAAGGAAAACGGTATCAGGCAACAGAGGGAACTGATTTAATCTCCAGGCTGAGAGTGATTGTAAGATTGTATTTTATTTGTAAGGGCTGATGATAAGCCCTTATTTTGTGAGACGCCAAGAAAAAATGATGTGCCTGTAACTTCTGAGTTTTTTTCTTACTAAAATCACTACTTTGTATAAACACCCATCTGACAGAGTCGTTGTATCCATCTTCTTTTTATTACAAAAAGGAAGCCAGAGTTATGTTACTTCTCTGGCAGCGAGTAAAGAAATATCAGGGAACTGTACTTCATAATTAAGTGTTAACCTTTGTGTATAATTTCCTGATTTTGGCAAAAACTTTTAGATGAATTGGACAATGGCATTTCCCCCAAAACATGAAAGAAGTCTGCTAAGTCATATACCTTAGTTTTCAGCAGTTAATAGCAGACTCACTTAAACACAGAGGACAAAGGTTTACTGTCTGAGTGAGAGCTGAAGAGGAGTCAGGGTAAATTCAGAGGGATTATTCTCTGTCAGTTTATCTACCTGAAGCTCTTTCTCAAACATCTGACTCATCCCAGATAAACTGTTAACAATCAGTTATAGAAGCAAACACTACAGCCCATCTTGCAATGGGATCACACCAGCCATGATACAGCGATCTGCAATTTAAAGCGAATGTTGGCCAGGGGTGTGAAGTCGGGGAGCCAGTGCACCCCCTCCCCTACTTCCAGCAACCTTGCCCAGACCACACCGTCTTTGAACTTGGCTGTCATTAGGATCCCACCTGCAAAGTTCTGTGAGCCAGGGGCGTCATGTGGGGGGCCATGCTTCTTATCCCACTACTTCTGGCCCCCTTGCTCAGACCACGTCCATCCGTATTAAGGATATAACTGCCCCTTAAGTTTTGTTAGGGCAGCACAGTGGAGGGGGAGCTCTTCTGTGTGGACTTTGCATGTTCTCCCCGTGTCAGCGTGGGTTTTCTCCAGGTACTCCAGTTTTCTCCCACAGTCCAAAGACATGCAGGTTAATTGGTGACTTTAAATTGCCCATAGGTGTTAATGTGAGTGTGAATGGTTGTCTGTCTCTATGTGTCAGCCCTGTGATAGTCTGGTGAGCTGTCTGGGGTGTACCCTGCCTCTCACCCAATGTCAGCTGGGATAGGCTCCAGCCCTCCCTGACCCCTAACAGGTTAAGCGGTAATGGAAAATGAATGAATGAAGGAAGTTTGGTGACTCTATCTTGCAAGATTACAACATTATTGTGTTGACAAAAATCTGTCTACAGACGGACAGATAGACAAAACACCTGTCAAAATACTCAAAACGACCACTGTAGTATTTCCCACTACAACTGGGGTCACCTGGATTACAAGACTCACAAGTTGAAAATAAGACCAGCCATCTTGACGTTGTTGCAGCTGGTAATTGAAAGGTATACTATGCAGTACTTCTTAAAAAAAAAAACAATGTATAGACTCACACAAAAATAATCCATCTCTATCATCACATATGGTCCACTTGAAGTGTCTGGAGGTGTATTTACCTGCATTGACTGCCCTTTGCCTGGGTTTTCTTCTTGTTTTGCTGTGTTCACTTGGCTCCTAAGCACAGTGGCAGGTGAGGTCAGGAAAAGGTAGCGACCGGGTGCCGGTTATCTTTCCATCTCAAGAAACTTTCTGGATAAGTAAAAGAGTAAAAGGTAAAAAAAAAAAAATAATAATACTAATAAAATTGCAGATAAAGCGACGAAAAAACGCAAATACAGTGAGATGAAATGCCAAGCAGACAAAGCTGAGGGTGGCTCTCACTTTCACTGGCAATACTGTTCACAAACAGTAGCCAACAATTCCTGCATTGTATACATTTAATGAGTAACTATCAATACTGAACATTGTTGCTGTGACCATCTAAGATCACGACCACAGCATGTGCTCAGTTACAGTACAAAATATCAAAAGATATCAGAAAGAAAGTGTGTAGTGTACTTACTGATGCATGCATACTTATATATGCTTGAACCAACAATATAAAACAACTACAAACTCAGATGATAAATGACTAAAAAATGTACAAAACAGTATATGTGTTGCTGTTTTTTTTTAAAAAACATTCTGAAGGATGTGGTTTTTGCGGTCACATTAAGATACAGAGCGAAGCAGCAACAGTAACAGCAAAATGAGGGACACAAATTAAAACTCTTGAGGCATCCAATTGTAAAATGTACACTGCCTTTTTAGGTCTCTATTTTTCAGGCGCAGTGAGGCGTTAAACTTTGAGACTAATGAAATGTGACCACTTTTGTTTTGGCAGCCTTTTAATAGCAGCAGTGTGAGAGTGGAGATAACAGTTAATTATTATGAATATTGCTGCCTGTCTGAGGATTAAAACTTTTGTGAGAAAATATTTCACCTCTTGTTCTCATTTGTCATTATAATTGTACATAGTTGTACAAAATGACATCTTTCACATTGATTTTATTGTGACAGGATAAACAACATTTAATAAATATATATTCGACCTTTACAATCCCGCACTTGCCATGACGGTGCTGCTAGATAGTCTTGTATTGGAGACTGCTTGCCATTCACCTTGTTCACCAGTGTACAAGCCACAGCTTAACAGCAGAGGATGGGACTACAAAATTAGTAAAATATAAATTGACTTTAAATGGTGTTGTGCCTCACAAAACACAGCCTATATAGAAACACTTAAGAGAACTGGCTGAAAATCCAGCACCTAATTATCTACTGGGAAAAAAATAATACCATTCTGCTTTCTTAACAACAGTCTGCAACTTGAGTGGATCAAAGTTCAACAGTAAACATATGTTCAAACCTTGTTTTACTGAAAATACTACAGTCTTTAAGACACACATTTAGGTATAAAGGTCTTATATGTTAAATTTAGTGGCATCTAGCAGTAAGGCTGCAACCAGCTGAAACTTTTCCAAGGGTGTAGGAGAGTTATGGTGGCCAATGTGAAAACACAAATGGCCCTCTCTAGAGCAAGTGTCTGGTTTGTCCATGCTGGCTACTATAGAAACAACATGGTGCACTCTATAGAAGAGGAGCCATTGTGTATGTAGATATAAACAACTCATTCTGAGGTAACGAAAACACAACGATTCTTGGCTTCAGGTGATTACACACTAATGAAAACATGGTTATTAATATTACATTTAATTTTAAATCCTACACAATGGACATATAAATTCTGCTCTGTTCAAATGTACATGACATGAAAGGTAAAAGGGACACTTTTTCTGAATCAGGATATAGTTTTGCAGAGCTGGTAAGAACTTGCAAAAATAAACTGTCATTGTCTCATTGTATCTTGATGATGTTGCAGTGCCGAGTTGACAGATAACCTGCATGTTAAATGATCAACTCGCAGGATTGGAGAGAGAGTGCAATCATGTCACACCCCCTACTTTTTGACAAGGATGGAAAGAGGGATGTCCCGATCCGATCTCAAAGATCAGGATCAGGATCAGGATCAGGGCCGATCAAGGCATTTTTTTAACTGATAGGGATTGACTATAATGAGATATACAGAGAATCTGATCCTAATTATCTCTCCCTGTCAAAAAAAAGTATGAGAACACCTCTGAATGTCATGATAAAGTGCCTCTACACATACACTCAGCCCCTCACTCCAAAGCTTAATAGCCAAGTGCATTATCTTGTGCTAGCTTTGTTCAACAGTGCAATAATTGCAAGTAGAAAAGTATCTATCACTTTGTTCTGCACTCAGGGGCCACAAACAGAAGGCCAGAGCAAAGAAGCTTGACTTCACCATGTAGGGGATGGGAACAGTCCTGAAGACCAGAGCTGGCCTTATTCTGCAGCTGTAAAAAGTAAAGAACTGACAATTTGAGTAAAGACTCGCCTATAAGCTCACTAACCCATTTGACAATTAGGGTCAAAGAGTTTTTGTTTTTCAGAATGCAGAGAAAAGCAGAGTGCAGCCATCTCCAACTCTCCCTCCTCTCTCACTCTTTCTCCTTTTCTCCTCCACTCACCTGAGCTCCGCCGTGTGTGTAAGAGCAGGTGCTGAGCCCTGCCTGTGGCGAAACACAACACATCATAACCAACAGCAAAAACGCAGTATGAGACTATTCATTTATGTTTTTCTCCAAAATTATGAGCACTTGTTTCATTTCAGCTCAGTGTGAAGGTGTTGTGAGATTATGGAGTATGGTGTTTATCCGCAGGCAGAGGAGAGACAGACAGTGGTGCAGAACTGACAACAACCACACTCACCACAGCACTACAAGTGCAACAACAGCCCCGGGAGCAAAAAGCACATAAGACTTTAATACTAATGCAGCTTAATCTGCGCAAAAGATGTACAGACGACGAAAATAAACACTGAATGAAATACCGTTCATTAGCCCTTCATTAGCCGTTCATTTAGCCCTATTTACTTGTTTGTTTGTTTTTTAAATAAATAAATAAACATTAAGGAACAGCTTGGATGCAGGGATTTTTTTCTTAATGCATTGCAGAGCTTTTCATTTGTCAAGCATATAGACTGGATGGATTGTAATAGCTATAAAGTACATAAAGTGTGCACTGTACAGAGGTATCGGACTGGGACTTGGTATTGGCAAATACTTAATATTAAGTGACTCATATCAGGAGGGGGGGGCAAAAAAAAATTTTGATGGGTACATCAATAGGAAAGACTACTAGAATATTACATCAACTTTAAATATGTTTTACTTAAGTGAAAGTAAATGGTAAATGGACTGCACTTGTATAGCACTTTTTTTAGTCTGTAACAGCCACCGCGAGCAATTTGGGGTTCAGTATTTTGCCCCAAGGATACTTCGACATGCGGTCTAGAGGAGCCAGGGATCGAACCACTGATCCTCCACTTTCCGACCCGCTCGACCTCTGAGCCACAGCTGCGTTATAGGGCTGTATGATATGGAGAAAATCAAATATCGCAGTATTTTTGACAAAATATCTCAATACTGATATTGCAACGATACTGCAGGGTTGACTACTGGTGCTTTCACAAAATAATTACAGTCAGATTTTTGATAAATAATCATTAATGTGGATGTAATGACTTCAGGGGTGAAGGCAAATAACAGAACAGCTTCAACAGTGTGGTAAGTTCAGAAAATTACCAGGAAAAAAGAACACTTAGGATATTACGACATCCAAAATCTAAGACAGTATCTATCATGATATTGATCTAATACTGATATATTGCTGCGTTATATATGCGGTAGTTAGTGTATACTACTGTTAAATTAAACATCGCTGGGTAACAAAACAAACTGCATTAAATGTGAAAGCATTAACTCATGGAACAACATCAGCAACATGAGCTTTTATGTCCAAAGCAACAATAAATTCCACTTCTATGTTAATTTTTAGCCTGTGTGGACAAGTGTCTCCAACTTATGTTGCAAAACTAACCTCAGTTTCCAGTAAAGTTATTGTCATCCATTTACAACAAGAAAACATCAACAAATACACATAGTTCTTGCACAATTATCTCTATATTTTATGATGTTGGTGGTGTAAAATTCTGCAGAATCTTTTCGTCTATTACTCAACCATTTGTTTTTTGTTTTGCCTTTGTTCACCATCATTTTGGGCCTTTATACTCCGAATGACTCTCTACTCTGAATGACTCAGATCACATTAGGAGAGCTTTTTGCTTGTTTTTAGTTTTCTGGCACTAACCCAGTCTATGGAGCAGGAAATACACACCAGGAAAATGAATACCACAATAGAGCCACCACAACACTTTGTCTTAAACGACTGGCTTTTTTTTTTTCTTAACATACCACATTTACTCATCCACTTCTCAGCAGACCACAGCCTGTCTTATTTTTACCACTTCACTCACAAAAGAGCATTTATAGTTGTGAGAAGGGCTGACTGTAACATCTCTCCTCTGAACTCTGGACAGAATGTTCTCAGTGAAACTATATGATCAAAAGAAGATCATATATCACAGTCATCACGGAGTTTATGTCCGCAGCTTCTTCCAGACTGCTGCTGTGTTTCACTCAGAGCTCCCTGCCAACGTGAGCCACTGCTGTTCCTCATAACACATCAACAAATTAACATGTTAAGTAGTCCTTGTCACTGACACTCCTGCCAAACCTGTGGTTTGCACAGGTTTGGCAGGAGTGTCAGTGTCCTGCCTGTTAGTGTGAGTGTGAGAATATTCAGCTGTAATAAGGAAAAGACATTTTCTGTTTCCTGTGCAGTCTTTGCAGAACAACATGAAAAACTGAAAATGTTCTCACACACCCTAAAGTGCATCTCTTCACTGTGGTATCTATAAAATCCCAGTAATGCATTGCACTAGGCACACATCGCATTTGTTTGTTGAGCATACTTCATGTATATTCCCTGGTTTCTTGGCTGTCTATTCACCACAGATTGCATTTCAGCAAGTGTCCTAGACAGACCCTATTCTTCATCAGGACAACAGACAAGGTGAGACCTCACAAACAAAGCCCATCTTGGTTGCTCAGTCTGCTGTGGTGATCCAGGCGGGATTAAGTAAAGGTTGGCAGGATTTTATTTTCTTTTAAAAGGAGAAAGAAAATGCTGAAATTGCTGTTTCATCTGGCTCGTATCCCAGCCGACTGCCAAGAAAAACTTAGTCCTGTAGTGTATCTTTTTTCATAGAAATTTGGATGATGCATTAACTGAGAGAAGTTGACTATCCTTCATATTACAGTGATACATTTTAGGGTTTCTGTCCTCAAATGGTTTAATTTTTTTCTTAAGAACTTTCTAAGATTTCATTAGAGCCACATTTATGGTTATTTGAACTTTAATTCACTCATAGGTGAATATTAAAGACAATCCCACTATACAGAGCTTTGCAGGACATAACTGCAGTGTGTGTTTTCATGGTAGACCCAATACACCTTTAAACATCACAGAACTTGGCGGTTTTAATCCAGTGGGTGGCGCCATTGTATCGATGTTGAGTGAGTTTCAGCGCCTGTCCACAGTTGCTCATTTGTGTTAAGTCTCGTGTTAAAGTGAAGCAACACCTATTTAATGAATACAGAAATGGAAACATAATAATGGTATCATCATCTTTTATCAGATGAGGAAATAATCTCATGACAGCAACACAAACACGAATGGATGGATTACTAAATTAGTTTGCAGGGCACAGGCCCACAGCCAGGGGCCCAAAGTGTCAGGGGTCCCCAGGCCTTCAGCTTCAAATGTAACTCAAATAAACACAGGCAACCAGGAAGAGACCCAAAATGACCACCAAGAGATGCAAAGGGACACATCTTAACTACAAAAAGGGGCAAACAACCACAGAGAGACCCAAAACAACCCATAAAAAAACAAGAATGACGAAGCAAAACCACCACAAAGTCTATATCTTGCTCCTCAGTGGGAGAGGGGGTGGGGCCTTTAAGACACTGACTTCCCTGAACATCTCAGCATGTCATAAATAATAATAAATAAAGTTTTGCTGCAATTTTTTTTACACTTTTCTTAACGTGTGCAAAATATGCAAGAGAAAAAAGTCATATTGCAATTATTTGTAACAGATTCTGTGATACAAGCCACAATTTTAGTGGCAATGGTAATTCTTGAATTTCATTTTCACTGGAAAAAAAATAAATTAAAAAAAATATATATATGATTTGTTGGACCACAATGCTTCAGTCATTATGGTATGTTGTGACAAATTTTATCTTTGTCAAAAAACTGCAGCCCCTGCAATTCAGATATTGCACTTGGCCATACTGTAGTTTCGATGATACTTCAATTAATTGTGCAGCCCTACTTTTTTTAACATTATGTTTTGTTTTGCAAGAACTGCAGTTACACAGAGAATGCATTCAGTATCTGAAGTTCATTTGAAATTGGACAAAGTCAAATGAAGATTGTAATCACTGGATTTTGGGGCTCTCCTCTATTTTTCCTTCTAAACTAATTTCTGATATACTCGATTTAAATAACCATGCTGCAGTAAGTAAACATGCTTGAGTCCAAACAGTTTGACTCTGAAGCCAACAGCCATGTGGGCCATCCACAAATCACTGTTATGAACAGAAGCATTCCTCTGTCCTCTGGGGTATATAAGGCTTCATTTGGTTTGCCTCCATGATATATGTGGAGGGCAAGAAGTCATTTAGCTTTCAATTTATTAGCCCTGTGATTTATGCATGCTGCAAAGGTAGTGGTGGTGTCTCCTACACGCCACCACCATTTACCCCCACCCTCCTTCCCTTTCTCACTGCACCGTAATAATTTGGTAATAGATGATGTGAAAGAGGAGAAAGTTCAGCAATTAGAAAAGTCAGAAAAAGGTTTATGGTTGCACTTCATTTATCACTGGTGTTTTAGTCACTCAGTAGAGGATCAAACAGTGAGACCACAGCGTCTTGCACTAGTTGGAGTCCATGTACATTAGGAAAAGGAGACCATACTACGAGACAACACCTACAGCAAAATTCTTGGCATAACTGATGCACAACATGCCTGAAAACAAAGCCTTTTTAAAAACAATAAAATCTGGGATCTAAATTGTTCCTATCACAAAAATATGGACACTGTTGTAGTTTTCTAAACCTGTTATGGTTTGCATGTTTCCAGTTTTAGCTGAAAATGTTTGTGGTGTACGTTACAAGGTGTCGATTGTTGCCCAGAGTTCAATGCCTTTCTGCTGACTAACAGCCTGCTTGGAGCCTCTTCCCATGACCACCGCTGGGAAGGAGGAAGCTCTGTTACCAAATGACTCACAGGGAAAAAAACAACCTGAAGTGTTTGGCAGCATTCGGAGCGGCTTTGTGAGTAATCACCATCCACATCCTTGGACACCTCACTTTGCTCTCACTCTCACTTTTTCCATCATCCAACCTCACAGAAACCGGGTTTCGTCATGGCAGAACACCGTGATAAAGATTAAGGAAAATTAGAAGACACAAATAAGCCCAAATATTCTTGATAAACATCCGAGAAAAGCATCTGCACCTCAGACCACAACAAAGCCCCTGATTTGCAGATTACTTTGCTGTCGGTGGAATGATGGCAAAGTCTCTCTCCAGTTCCTGCAGTTAGAAGGAGAGTTTATTTTTGTTGATGTGATCACATCCTATCTTGCAGTAAGAAGTTTTGTCAGGTGTACCAAGATGGCGTGGGGGAGGTGCAAAGAGCGTGCCTGCTGACAGGCCTGATGTACCAACCGTGACACTCCCAGTTCATCAACAATCTAAAAAACAGATGGAGGAGCGCTGGGAATGAGACATGGGAATGCAGCACAACGTTTTGATGATTAGCACTTCGCCATTGGGAGGTTCTCATCTTAAAGAGAGCACAAATCTCACATCACAAGCTCCATTAACAGACTGCATCCAATCCCCTAATGTCAGGCATTCTTACCATATGTGCAATCATTATAAAACTACTGGCTTCTGTATAAAGAATTACTCTGGATACCTTCAGAGTACCAGTGGCAGAAGAAGTACACATCCTAAAGCAAAAGTAAATTGAGGAGAGTACATTTGATGGTAAGCAAAACAGCCACGCTCCAACTAAAGACTGATGTTTTCAACATTAAGTGGACACCAGTAATACTACAGTTGCTGAAGCTGATTAAGGACACAACTTCTCCATAACCCCAGTGGAGAGGAGGAGTTTGATCGATACTGTCAACATGCAACTGAGCCTCTTGTGAGTGATATATTATATGTTAGCCTACATTATTAGATTGTTAAAAGTAATGCAACAGTGGGTAATTTTACTGCTGCAGCTGCTGGAGGTGGAGCTAGTTTTAACTACTTTTCATGCAGTTGGCTATAGCTGAAGCATCCTCTGCTGAATAATAGTTTAGCTCTCCAAATGATAGTTAACAAAAGCTTTACTGACAATACTGTAGCTCCAAAACATGCAGTAAACACACGGTAAGAGCTGAGAAGAACACAGAAGAGAATAATAGGCCATTTTTTCCAACCTAACAAAATGGCATGCTCTGATAGGGTGCTACAGGTAAACATAGGCTATCAAACTTAAAATTAAACGATTTGTCACTGTTTAAAACTAAAACCAGACATAAAACCAAACAAACCATCCCAATTCAAGCATGCTTTGCCCCATATACTGTGGCTACTCACTGCAGCACACACCTCCATAGTACAGCATTTATTCAGACTATACATACATAGGCTATATGTACACTACATATGTGCAGAGTCTAGAAATACTAATTGTTTGGCTGAAAGGTGCATTGTACGGTGGCCCTGAGAGCCCAGCGTACTGCAAATTAAGGAAACATAAAAACACATAAACGTCTTCACTAATTTGACAACACATAGCTGCAGATAGAGCAAACATAACAAAACACAGAAATGCGTAGCATTAGCACACACGACAAAGACAGGCTAATGTTATGTTAGCTGATTATTAGTCTTAAAAATGTCACCAAGTAACGTTCAAGGACGATAATGAATTGCTGAGCTAACTGTTTAATTAGCCAAATTAAAACAAACTAAGAGGCATGACAGGCTGTTTTAAAATGTGCATCGACTACAAAAACTGTATACACATCACACTGTCACTCATTGTCAATAACAAGAATTGAAATTATTGACAAACCTCGTGGCCTTCTCTGTCAGGTGCTAGACAAACAAAAGGTACAACACACCTGCGTTCTTTACTCCTACCGGCAGTGCTCCTTCAAAATAAAAGCACTCACCTTCAGAGGCTAAGGTAGCCTCACCAATGAGACAAAATTAGTACATCTATTACTTATCAGTCCTGAATAGGTATTTTAATGAACTATCTGAGAAGTTAAGAGGGGGAAATCATGTCTGGTGGAAGCAGACAACGCATTTAATCAACTGACTGATTAATCAATCAGTCAAAATCTATCTGTATGCCTTTAGCACCTTTTACAGGTTATTGCAATTCAATGTGCTTTATAGGTGACAGGTACCTAACAAGGTAGTTCCCCCTGAAAAGGATTATTTTATTTTGTTTATTAAGGAGTATAGCACATGGTATGACAAGCAGTGTCAACTCAACTATGAGAATCATTTTTTTATATAATAATAATAATATAAACAAAGTACTTATCATGCTAATTAGGATAAAGAGGGACAGGAGGGGTAGTCAGTCAGGAGACAAGGATTAAAGAGAGTTTTAGGATGTTGAAAAAGACTGTAATATATTATATAACTTATCTGATTTACCTCTAATTGAATATTTAATCTTCTCTAGCTTTATAAAGGACATGACATCACTGAGCCATTGAGTACTGGAGGGAGCTTTAGTAGCCTTCCAGTGAAGAAGAAGATGGTGTCTTGCCAGGAGGGAAGTAGAAGCTAGGACTTCTAATTGCTGGGATGTGTATTGGTATGGCCTTCGAGAAACCCAAAAATGGCAATATGGGGAGAGACATTTATAATAATGAAAGAATTTTTGACATAGTGTGGAAGTAGGTCTGCCAAAAACAGGATAATAACAGACAAGAAAAAACATGTTGGATAGCCAAGCAGACTTTTTAATATTACTATTATTTTAATTTATTTATTGGTAAGGTGTCACAAGCCAAAAAGGCTGGGAAAGATGGGCCAGTCTTTCACAATCAGTCAGTGAATAAATGTCAGATCTTAATCTGAAAAGTAACTACAGCCATCAAATAGTATAGTGAAGTAAAAAGTAAATGTATTGGAGTAGTATAAAGTGTAGTGTAGCATCAAATGGAAATACCTCTTATTTATTTAAGTGCAGTACTTAAGAAAATACTTCCCACCACTGTAAACGTTAGGAAAACATTCAGGGTACAGTTAGTATCACAACCACTGCTGCTTATTCTAATAATATAGACACATTCCTGTTACCTGCTAATTCTTGAAGAGTGTCCAGCAGATGGGGAAAACAGCCTGAAGCTGCAGGTGTCTACACTTCACAACAGCAAGTAATGTCTTTAACAGATTTCAGCCCTCAGTCAGTCCACCTTCATCCTGATAGAGACGGTATATAATGCTGATGGAAGGAAGGAATGTATTTTGTGAAAATTATGTTTTATGATTGAGATTTTATTGAATTTTAGAAAGACATTGGAGCATAAAAACATGAAACAAAGAATAAAGGACAATATATAACTTAAAACAAAGGGCGGAAGACATTTTGGGGCCATTTATTTTGTGAAAATTAAATTAAAACCTTACTTATAGCAATTATATTCCTCTTTTGTATGCTCTTCTAAGTGGAAAGGTTGAATGTGATAATCAAACCGAGTGACTTCACATCTTGAAGAGATCCCCAGCTGGGTGGCCCTGATCACACAACTTCCACATTGATGAGTGAAAGTAAACAACACCCCGAGAGCAAAAAAAGGTAAAACTCTACAGTCAGCCGAGATAAAGCCCTCAAAGAAGAGTGTCTTCTCGACTAATATCTGTCAGCCAGGAGGAAGAACAAGCGGGGCTGAAGGGTTCCTGTTCCAAAAACAACATAGCTGGAGAGGTAGCCTATTGTGTCCTGACAGATTGGTCTGACTGGAGGAGGAGGAGGAGGAGGAGGTCGCCTCTAACTGACACACAGGGAGGAGCAGAGGTGAGCAGAAATCTGGGGGAGATGGGAACACAGCTGCAGTTTGGAGGAGAGTTAGTGTCGTTACTACCTCACATAATTTAGAATTGACAGCCTGCAAAGGGTTGTTTGAGTGCCTTTGAATTTATGACGCTGTGTCCTTGTTGGGCGGAAATAGACAAATTCTCTATCTATCTATCTATCTATATATCTATCTATCTGTCTATCTATCTATCTATCTACAGATGAGCAGCCAGCGTGATCTTCCACACTCCTCCTCTGTATTTTTTGGCAAAGGATTGGAGACCCTCCTCTGTCCTGATCACTCCCCAGGTCCTCAGGCCCCCCGCCCCCACACCTCTGCCCATCATCCCCCTGTATGCTATTCATCCTCATGTGCAGCTGGAGCACTCTGTTTGACCTCCTCTCTCCTCACAGAGCCCTTATTAACAGGGACTGTGGCGGGACTCCTCGCAGCACTTGCGGTTACAGTGAAGAACCACACTGGACTACTGACATTATGCTCATCACTTACATAAGTCTGTGTGACATGGCATGTTAACGCTGCTCTCCAACGTGTGCTCCTCTGCCAGGGTTATTTTGCTGGGCTTGGAGCCACAGATGGCGATAAAGACACTGCTGTTACGTTCACAACAGTTCTTTTATTATTTCACATCGGGAACATGACTGATGACATTCCAGCCAGGTGGTCTTTGCCAAGTCATCTTGTCAGTTATGCTTAATATATGAAACAATAAAAGAAGAACTCGCTCGTGGGAACACGACAGCAGAGAATAATTTATTTTTTCCTGTTTTTTTGTGATTGTTTCTCAGCGTGCACCTGCAAGGCACTGTTGGACGTGGGTGTGCTCTTATGAAAAGACTCTGTCCATTCCACAGATGCCATCATTTACTGCAGAGGTTTTGTAAGAGGGAATAGTTTTGGAGCAGCACCAAGAGCTGCCTGTGCTTCTCCTTTTAGTGTCAAGTGTTATGTTGCATTGTTTATTTGAATGCAAGTAATTTAAAATCATGATTTTAATACCATTTAAAGGCTGAAAACAGCAGACCGACCTGCAGCAGTCAAACTGATGAAACAAAAAATTAGTCCAAGTGTGCATGTCCCCCTCAGTATTTAGAACATGTGCCTTTGTCTCTCCTCAAAAATATGGCAGTAGCAGAGGACTTTTATTTTGCCAAAATTAAAGACCTTTATACCATCAATCGCTGCAGAAAAGACAAAAAACAAGGAAAACAGAGAAAAACCCAAACCCCCCCATTTAGTGCGTGGTCCCCCCAGTGTTGCATGCATGCGTGGTATGCATTTCTAATTTCTCCTAGCTATTGGGGATCAGCAGGAACCAAAAAGTATAAAAAACTAAACATTGTCAATAATAATAAGGTCCCAGTGGCCTCAAATGAGACAATACTAAAAGTCCCAATGTCCTCAAAAGAGTACTTACAAGTTAACAGTGTCTTAGCTTGTTACTGTTGCTAAAATTGGTCTTATGTGTATTCCATATCAAACTATTATTAATCATAAATAAACAAGTTTCAATCATAAAATGTGATCAGGTTTTGGACCTTGTCCACTTTTGTGTCGGGATCGGGCTTAGACTGCCTTCGCAGAGAAGGCTGCCCCCTTGTTTTTACATGTATTAGTGTATTGTGCTCTTACTACCACTGGATGGCACAGAACATTGTCCCCAAACGAGGACAACAGTTCTAAGTCAAGTAGATTGAAGTATAAGGTCAAGTAAACCCAAAATGTGATGTCCTCAAATGAGGACGCAGGGTCTCAGGAGGATTTTGCTGTTTTATGTTAGTTTAAAATGTATGCATGGTTGTGTGTAAGTGTATGGTTGTATTTGTAAATGTGTGAGTATGAATGTATGGGTACATGTGTGTAGAGATATATGTTTATTTTTAGGATGTAAAATCATTTCCTTTAAAAATGGAATTTCTGCTTTGTTTCAGTTTTAACTGAGAATATGAATGTTAATAAACTCAAACTTATTATTAAAACATATTCAATTAAAAGGTCTGTTTAATGTCTGCACAGTGCAGTCAGGAATGTGGCATATATTATTTGTTGTGTTGGCTCTCTTCTCCAACACATTAGGTCAGATACTTAAAGCAGCACCTAAGAGGTTAAAGTGCCGACATACAGCTTTTATCGTAGGGCATTTCACATCCACATCAGCTGAACTATGTTGCATTTGCAACCTGTTTTATATTTCAATATACATTTCATCAGGACTTTTTCATCTGCGGAAAATATGTCCAATAAAAACAGTGGACAGCGAGGTCTGTGAATTATCAAGGCTAACTGTATGGGGCATTGTTTCTGGAAAGAAATGACGCTGTTGAGTTTCATGAATGTTATTTTTCAATGTTATGAGCACCACAAACAAAATTCCATTGAAATTACTAAAGCAGATGCCTCAAATTGCTGCACAGAAAACCAAAACTATCTGCAGATACCACTGGTTTGTGATTTGGGTGAAATGACTCTTTAACACTGACAGCAGCAATGGCTACAACTGTTCACTGTATTTTCCTATCTAACATGACTTTTAGTGACTTTATTTTTTTTTATTACACAAATACTTGTATGCATTATAGGCTACTGTATTATGTTGATATGTAGCCTACTTGACCTTTGTGTAGTCTACTCTCATTAGTATAAAAAACATGGACAAAATATTAGAAACCCCTCTATGGTCTGAACAGAATTGCCCAATATATCAGAATGTGACTTTGCAATGACAAAAGTAGGGGTTGTCATAGCTGATCTGCAGATCATGATAAAGCACAACTTCTCCAGATCTTAGAAAATGGATTAAATCTATATATTTTTATTTATTTATTTTATGCTAGTGTCATATGAACACATGTTAACTAAAGTCAGTGCTGAAGGTGAGACCTTTAAGAGTTCATGGATCTGCCTTTTTGCTTATAGCATTTTTGGGACACTTTGATGATCTGGTTGTATTGCTATAATTGCTAAATACTTATTTTGGTTGTTCTAAATATGCACATTTTCCACCGGCCTTTGGATACAGTATAACTAAAGGTAATAATACTTGAATCTGTTTGTGTTT